GACGCCCTCTTCCCTTTACATATAACGTAATTTATGTAGGGGGGCCCTTATGAGACGTTACGGACGAGCCAAGGTCTTCATCAGGTAGCGGCTAAATTAATACAATAGAGACGAAACATGGCACCTTACCTAATATGATCAGCTGTAGACGTACGCGCAATGAATAGACGATAAAATATGCAATGATCTTTCAATAGCGAATTGTAATGTTTATACAGACGCGGCGGAACGATGATTGAGCTTTGCGTCATAAATAATAATCAATTGGTATGAGTTTTGGGTCTAATATAAAATAGATGTAATGGATGACGTTGTTTCTTGACGATATTGTACTATTGGCAGTGAAATCATTATGAATGTGGCAAATTGCATTTGTAGTAAATCATCACTGATTTGCATTTATCTTATTATTTTAGTTCGCTCATTCGGTCATCTGTTGATCGTAATACTATAGTTATATTGTTTATATAAACTGTTTGCTAGTATTCGATCCAAATCCTATATATAATTTTATTTATTGTTAATTTTGAATCTGTTCTGTTACATATACTAATAAAGGCTATAACAGAATAGCAGAGAGGGTGGACTCACTGCCCGCTCTGAGTTATAGACGATTTTGTCCCGTTTATAATTTTAAATTTTTATTAAAACAGCAGTTGTATTAGTTTTTATTTGAGACATATAATGATTATTATTATTATATTAATGAATCACTATTTCCTTTTGTCCTAAGTTGACGGGTGGACAGATTTCGTTATTTTTTGTTGTTGTGTTTGTAATTATCAGGACAAGGTTATTATAGAAGAAAAAAATAATTACACGACTGTTAATATAAATTATAATTCATAGTTAAGACAGAACAAAATCTGTCGAGTCGACTAGTAATAGAATAATTACCTTTTCACTATTCTTATTGTATATATCTTATAAGTATTTACCTCTTACCGTACTACTTTTTATCTTATTGTTAGGACACTAATCTATCGCCAACATTGTTACTTGGGGTATATCAATTAAGAACGGTTTTATATTCGATCACTTTCAGAGGACTGAGAAGTCTTTTATCTAGTAATTTCACTGCCTAATCTGACTCTATAACCGAAACACTTTTTTTTATATTAAAATTTGAGCGCGTTTGACCGCAATCTCACCTGATGTTAGGTGATATACAAAACAATACATTTACTACTTACAAAACAAGCTGCTTGACAGCTAAAATAAGTATTACTTAGGTACCCATTACTTTTTACGGAAACATTTTTAGTTCAATAATATATAAAGAATTAAAAATGGATACCCTTTATCGTATTTAACATCCTATTCGAGTCGTGAGTATAGAGTCAATTCTAATAAAGTACCCAGCCAAGATCCTATAAGATTAAGTTTTTACTAGAGAGAGACATTGTATGAAATCATGATTTATGTATTATTAACTGTGCCCGTGACTTTGTTCGCGTGTTATAATAATCTTGACCAAATAAAGAAAAAATATTCAATAATCTAACCCAAAAAATCCAAAGATAAAAGTTTCATCGTTCCAGATTTAAGAAGGTCGATACTTGCATACAACCCTTCATCTCCCCTTTCAATCCCATACAACCCTTTTTTCGCATAAAAAATATCCTTTCTCAGGGACTAGACTATCTGTGTACCAAACTTCATATAAATCACTTCAGTAGTTTTGTCGTGAAAGCGAGACAGACAGACAGACAGATTACTTTCGCATTTATAATATTAGTAGGGATTAAATCGTTCAGTTGACTGCAGTCGTTATTTACAAAATAATTAAAAATACAGACTACTAAAGAATTCTACCGAAACTTTTGTTTCAATTTAATGTTGAAAATCTATATTTATATTTGTATTACATACTCATGTTCTTAATTTCTAAAGTTAAATATTATATGTCCAATATAAATTTAAATGTTCAATATAAATAACTACGAAAAAGATTAAATAGTGAAGTATTTTAACTACACTCAAATTAGTAGTAAATGCAATAAAAAAGTATTTTAATTATATTTAGATTAGTAGTAAATAACTTAATTAACGGATATTCAACCAAAGCAAGACTGGCATTAGTAATTCTGCCAACCACAAATAACTCAGGGGAATTTCTTGAACACCGAGACCATTGTCACACAGTAATGGGTTCACGTTAATTACTATTTTGAGATAGTTCGCTGAACTTCCAACCAAAGGGTATAGTGTACGATTCGTAGTACACTTTATTTATACAAAATGCCCACGTGTAGTCCTTATTATGAACATTAACATTATCAAAGCGCCTTTCATAGCAGTTATATACGTTAGGAATTAAATAAACTTATCTTTAAAATTTCACTTTACAGTTTTTGGCTGTGTGTTTATAAAAACGAAACGTGTAATTTGTTAACTTCAAATCAAGATACGTTTTGAAACCGAACTTTGAAAAACCAATTGAAAAACCGAAACGAAACGAAAGAACAATTGAAAAACTGAACCCATGTTCCTTCATTCGTTCATTTTGACATAGTGGCTAAGTCACTATTACCTATATAACTATCCTAGGATATCGTTTGTGAAAACGAAGAGTACTCAATTTTTAAATTTCGAATCAAGGTTATTTTATTTGTTCAAATAATTGACATAGTAATGAAATTTATACATCAAGAAGCACATGTAGGAAATCCTAGGATCTAATTTATGAAAAACAGTACTTGTATGTTTTGAAATTAGAACTCAATTTGGAAGAGTTCAAATAATGGTGAAACAGCACAGGTAAGATACCTGTGTTGTTTTTTTGCCTCAGACATTTATGAGAAATAAAATTCGAACAAAGTTTCGTAGAGTTGACAAGGCAAAGAAAGAGCACAGGGAGGATACCTGTGCTGTTTCTTTTCCTCTGACTTTATGAAATATAAAATGTGTATGTTTTGAAATACGAACAAAGTTTCGTAGAGTTGACAAGGCAAAAATACAGCACAAAATTGAAATTCAAATCGATGTTCGTAAAATTCACATAATTATGAAACAGCACGCGTATGAGATCCAATTTATGAAAACCAATTCTATGCTGTTCGCTGCTTCACTACGATGTAAAATTTAATCTACATTCATTCATGTATTCCCAGATATATGATATGCATATCTCTGTATGGTGGAATGTAGGATCAGATAAGTCAGAGCTAGTTAGTGCTGCGTTAGTCTGCGTATGCGTTATGTCGCAACTCGCAACCGCGTAGCTGTCAAGGATGCCAGAAATAGATAGCACGTCGATAATATCAAAGGTATATGGACCCGAGTCATAGTCATACTCGTCATAATCTAACTGGTCAGAACTATGAAATACTAGTTGTACTCGCGTTTTCACTCACATGCCATTTATAGCCTAGGAGTTATTCTGATGTGTAAGCTACTGTAAAGTTTCTTCAAAATACGTCCAGTAGTTTTTGTGTTAAAGAGAAAGAAACATCTATCCATCCATACTCACAAACTTTTGCGTTTATAATTTTAATGAAATAACTGAATCTTCATGTATGCAATTCAGTAAAATTAATTTGTTCAACCAAGAGTTTAAATTGCAAGTAGTCACAGAAAACATTGAATGGAAAGTTTAAACATTTTTTTGATTTATTGATTGAATTGAGTCAATCTATTAAGTATCTGTTTAGGACAAGCATTTTAAGCCTTACTATAATTTCTATAGAAATTATAATTAAAACCTCAGAAATCGTAACTTTTAATAAATTTATAACAAGTCTCAATTAAAGTTTGTGATTAATGCTTCTATGATAGGAAACAATAATGATAATTAAAGATAAAAGATAAACTATTATTCTGCGATTTGGCTGTATTCTCTATACCCACGTCCCGTAACATGCATTCAATCAATATTATGAGCGAAATAAAGGCATTTCAAATGTTGCTATAACATTTACAGTTGATATTGCCTCTGACTATGAATCTAAAGTGGTTGGGGATAAATCGTCTCTCGAATTAATAAATAATTTATATGTATTAGCGTACATACAGAAATATAGGACACAAAAACGATGAAACTGATCAGCATGATTATGCGAAAGAAATTGTAATATGTCAATGACGTCATGAGACATGCTAAGTGGGGATAAACCAGATACTTGTTCAAGGGACATTTGCCTGCATATTCCTGGCAACCTTCCTGAGGAACCTTCGGATGTTATTTATTTGGCTGCAGCAGAGCATTGTCTACGAGCAGCAAAACGTCAAAATTGAAGATGTTATCTAACCTCCCATAGAAATGGAACTCGAAGAAGATTTCAATACATATGAAATTAATTTAATGTATGTACATCAAAGTTTAGTAAACATTGAGTAATTGTACCAACCATTGTAGAAGAAAATAACATAGTAGGTAATACAGAAATTCTTTAGCACAGATGTTACAATCTATAAATTAATATTATTGTACAAAAGTTAACAAATATTATTATTATTAATTAAAGTATAATATAATAGAAACTAGGTTCTTTCATAATGGCGGGAAAAACTATATCATACGGAGCTTATAACATAGTGTCTGCAACATTCTTGATAGATGTATTGTGTAACATCTGGCCTTTATGTAACTTTTATATTCTTTTGACTTAGGATTTGTGGTTTGATACTGCTACAAGTAGGTATCAAAACCAACGATGGAATAAATGTATATATAATGTACCGATAATAGTATAGATAGAGTAAATAATACGTGTATAAATTTTACTTAATTTTCAATGTTGTGGTGAAGTCGTCATTAGCCTATTCCTGACCACTACTGGATATATGCCTAATCTTTCATCATATACGCTGATCTGGATTTTCTCTACAATATATAGTATCCAGTTTTTTAAGATTCTGTTATAAGCAATATTATGAACCTATTACTAAATAGAAAAGATAAAATAATTATAGAAATAAATTATAAAACCAATACTTGCTAAGAAAATGTTACAGATATATAAATGAGTATCTTATAATAAAGATAATGAACACCATACCTTTATTAAAAATAGACTCGGTGCTTTCAGCTTTGAAACATCCAGACACAATCCACAACAAACAAATAAAAACACAGTTAAACACCACAGAGAGACACTTAAAACTGGAAGTTATCGGATGAAACGTGGAAAGGAACGTAACATTTCATTTGAAAAAAGAAAACCGCGGGCTCACGATTCCAATTTCAAAACCGCACAACCGCGCACCGCTGAACACGTTCCGATTTCAAATCCAGAAGTGGCCAGTGTTTTTCACTCATAAAAATAACTTTACATGAACGTATTATTCCGTAAAATAATGTAAACATAGAGCGGGGATCGGTGCGTACGATCTTCTTTGACATCGCGATTTCGACTGACTAATTTTAACAGTGTTGATCGCATATTCGGATGCAGCAAGATCTCGGGCCTGTATCGATTCGGTTCGTCATCGATGCGCTTGCGATAAATCACTGCTTCTGTTTCGAGTGATCGCCCGATAACGCTGTACAGATGTTTTATGGGGTTCCTTTGATATGACGAACCTTATGACATCCTGGTCATAATGGCAAAGAACCATTATAACTAAAATATATTTAACAGAATTTTTATACAGGATGCTATTGATCATTTGTACATTTTACTTCTACTAAAGTGATAATGTAATTTGCATAATATACAATAATAATAATAATAAAGATATTTATTTTGGGATCAATGGCCTATTTGTTTGTATTGTTTTCTAATGTTAGTAAAGTTCTTTACTATGTAGTATTACAGTTACAGTCGTTACAAATTGTTAGACCTCTGTCTAACAAGTACTCACACAATGTTGTATAATAGGCAAAACAATTTAAGAATAACAATATTTATTAAAAAAAAAATAAGAATGAAATTCTTGAATAATGAGTGTAATATTTCATGGCGGATCCAATTTAAAATAAAGGCACACCTTTAGAAAGCCTTTCTAACCGTGAATTGTGTGAATAAAAGTGAAATGAATTTACAACAATGCATTGTTTTTAAATTATTAATAATCATGTAGGTAGTTAATTAAAATTTTTGTCCTATAACGCAAACGGGGTTGGGGATGTTTCTTTAATTATACAGGGGTTACTAACCCTTCCGATGAAACATAAATCGTTAAAAACAAATTGGGGGAGAAATCATTTAATATATGGTACAAACAATATGTTAAGTCCGCCAAATGTGTTTTTTACTTTGCATTGTATTGTGTCCATTAAAGTTAAGTCGTATGTAATAAATAGATTAAATTATTACACAATTAAGAATAATACATGTTTATAAAATCGTTTAATACATTAAAAATGTTTTCACGTTGAATGACAGTGTAATAATAAAAATAAAATTAACCAAGACAATTCACACAGCTGCATCTATTTCCAAAGTATATACTTTGGATGCTAAATAACTGATAAATTATTAATTTTTTTTGTAACACGCATAATAAGTATGTATAAGTATGTTATATTATTTGTTAATATACGGAACCCAGTCGTAAGGCGCGTGTTGTGCTTCACAGAACTCTTTCTAAATTGGAACACGGATCTCTGGGTCATATTTTCATGAATGAAGCCGCGTGAGTTACTCGTATAGAAATAGATATGAACGGTATAGTGTTACCGTTACGTTTAGTTAACATAAGTATTGTAGTAACAGGTAGCTATTAGTATTCGAGTAAAATAAAAAATAAATAAAGGTTCTAAAATAAAAGTAGTCTAAGTTACTCCTTATAATATTATCTATCAATGACTGAAACGAAGTGAAGTGAATCGCTCCAGTCAAGGATTAGTAATAACAAAAAACATATCTATGTATTTATATAATTTGTCTAGTACCCATAACACAAGCTCTGCTTATCATTGGACTAGATACTTATTGTGCTTATCGTTAGACTAGATAGATAGATAATTGTCTAGGGGTTGAATGAAAGCGTAACAAACATCCATCCATACTCATAAACATTCAAAATAAAAGCACAGAGCATAAAATAATAAGTAATACTTTATGCTCTGTGCTTTTATTTTGCATTCTATATCAAATTAACAATTCTTACTTCTTACTTTTCTTTCTAATATTATAAACGTTAAAGTTTATACGTATGGATGGATGGATGTTTGTTACTCTTTCATGTAAAAACTACTGACATCATTTTGATCAAACTCTATATAGCCTATAAATTTCATGCGGGCGAATTCGCGGGTAAATTCGTACAGTTACTGTTTCATGGTTCTGATTGGTCAGTTTATGTCGAGTATTTGATTTCATATATACATAAAAAACAATACAATACTTAATTTAAAAAGAAATTATGTAATTTGGGCGAAATATATTGATATTGATGGTAGGGGAAAAAATTACATTCATAAGCGGCTAAAATGTCCTACACGAGTAAGTGATTTTTCAATTTGAATTTGAATTTGATAAATGTCAAGTAATTGTGATGCAGACGAAGTGGGGCGAGTCATCTAGTGTATATATATACATGTATATTAGTACCATAGTGCAAAGATGTTTTTTTTATTCCACAAGTATGCGGACATACACTTGAGCTGTACCTATTTGTTGATCCGGTGGCCTACTTTAGTAGTGGTTTATGGTATCCGGGGCTGACAGAACGTGTTGTCTACTAGGCAGTCTCACTGCATAGGAAACACATTCATTAAAAAATAAACAGACACATAGATATACAGTGTGCAGCAAAGGTATTTCTACCAATATTTTGCCATTTGGCGGCCTCGGTGGTCTAGCGGTTTAGCACATCGCTTCACTTATAAATGCGGGTTCGATTTCTCGCATGGTACGAGCATTTGTATGCGTATATGTAATTGTTTATGATTGTTTTACGAAATCTATGGAGTGCATTGTAGGAATTGGTAGACTGTATGGGTGTATTATGATGAAATATTTATTCATGAATATGTTTGTTTGTATCGGTCTAGGTGTTTTTTACGTATGTTATGTATGTATTTAAAAAAAAATTAAAGTTTATGATTGTTTTACGAAATCTATGGACTGCATTGTAGGAATCGGTAGACTGTATGGGTGTATTATGATGAAAACACGCAGATTTATTTAATATACATACTAGCTGTACCCGTGGTTTCATACGCATGAAATTTATAGCCTATGTGTTATTCTGATGTATAAGCTATATTATTGTAAAGTTTTAATAAAATCCATTCAGTAGTTTTTGCGTGAAAGAGTAACAAACATCTATCCATTCATCCACATTCACTTACCTCATTTATAATATTAGTAAGATTGAACTTCACATGCGGGCAGTAAAACTTAAGAATTATGTAAAACATGAACAGAACACATAAAAAGAAATGGTCTAAACTTATAAATTAAAAAAAAATGGAGTCAAACGAGTTCGCGACGATCGGTCGCCTAAGTTCTTGAATTAAAATACTCTCAGCAAATTCTGAATATTTCAAGTCGTCTTTCAAAGTTTCAATAAAATTCATTCCGTAGTTTTTGCGTGAAAGAGTAGCAAACATCCATCCATCCATACTCACTTTCCTCGTTTATAATATTAGTAAGAGAGCTGTACCTGCAGACCACAGTAAAACGTAGAATTATGTAAAAAACATAACATAAAAAGAAATGTTCTAAAATTAGAAATTTTGTAATAAAATGGAGTCAAGGGAATTTGCACCGGTCGAATGTTGAATTAAAATATTCTCAGCAAAATCTGAATATTTCAAGTCGTTATCTATCATATTGTCCAATGTCGATTATTTTTAACTAGCTACTCGCCACGGCTTCACACGGGTGTACATGTATTATATATATAAACCTTTCTCTTGAATCACTGTCGTGATCTCTCGCTTCAAAATCCTATGCGTAGTTTTAAAGATTTAAACATAGATAGGGACACACAGCGACAGCGATTTTGTTTTATACTGTGTAATGATAATAAAGTTGTTTGTTTTACCGTGGCAGATAACTGTCGTCAGTGTCGTGAACACACAGACCGTTTCAATATCTCAATTTATAATATGGTATTTATAATATGGGTTTAGTAGCCTGAAATAAATTAATAATAAATAAATATATATTTTTATTTATTTATTTATTTAAGCAATATTAATGTTGTAATTTTGCATATTGCAATTGTCCTATGCTAAATAGGTAAATCCTTCATTAATAGAAAATCTGATTATTAAATCTAGCAGTTACCTATAACGTCGGTGGTCGGTTTTTTAGACAAAACATGGCCTATGTCCGACCCCGAGATACAATCTCTCGTCAGGCCAAATTTCATTAAGATCCTTTCAGCCGTTTAGTCATATAAAGGACAGACAGACATTTGCATTTATTATATTAGTATACATATCTTACTACAAAGAACAAAAGATTGAAATAAGCATATCTACGCAATCAGTACAGTCGATACCACAGTAGGCTTTGTTCGTGGAATCTGTAACACCCCGACGTTGCATCTGACATTTCCTATCATCTGACCAGTCTACATTATCGATTATACTTGTGAATACACGCGACAGAACCATCGTAATCTGGACTACACATCTTCCCAAAAACTCCCCTCTATCTACTATTTCTATTAACAAGGACAGGGGAGGAACAGGTCAAGTTATAACGGTGAGGATATACGCGAATTACGCACACAATAAAACACCCCCGCGCAGTCGCAGATCGAGCTCACCACCCCACCCGAAACTCACCGTCGAGTCGTCGGTGCCGGCAAAATTCTTCGACACCCTTGTGCTGACGTTCCAAACGCAACAACTAGTTCAAAACTACTCGAATTCTGTTAATAAATTTATAATAAATATTAATTAAAAAAAAAAAAAACGCGCCACCGCAGTGTATTGCTTCAGCTTTAATTGTTGCTTAGTTTCGTTTTAAATCTAAGTGTGATAGAGGACTACGAAAATACGGAAGGAAAATGGCGGAGCGTGGCTCGCGATTTTCGATTCGAATTTAGAATTGTGGCATAGATAGAAAATTTTAAAAATTATCTTTTTAAAAAATAACATATGCGAGAATGTCGTTGTGGGTTTTTGTATTCGTGTAGATTTTCCGTGACTGTACTGCAAGGACATTGTAAAATCGATATCTGTTCGGCTATGTCGTCACGGCTGTAGCTGTCGCCGGTCGGCCGGTAATAATAATAAACTGCAAACGCTAAAAGGCTGTTGTACATGTCAGAAAAAGAAGAAGAGTAGTCTCGCATCCATCGAAGAGATGACAACAGAAACGGCGACGCCTAACCAGGTAAGCTTTGGCGCAACGAGCCATCTAAGTCAAGGACAGTAGCCTTTTTACTTTTGTATTACATAATTTGTTAGTCTTTGTACATGCATAATTGATACTAAACAATGAAATAAAAAACTCATGGCAGTTCAAGTTCATTCCTTTGCCACTAATTTAACAAAAAGAAATATTATACACTCAAATGACTTGGGCGGTTTCGGTGTATATTTCATGAATAAATGTATTGACTTATTAGTATTTATATATTCATTGTATTGAACAAAATGGATTCCAATTACGTTACGTTACGTTATTAAATTTTATAATGTAATACATAGGTAATTGTTCCTAAATATTGTATATCTTTTTGTTATGTACTGTATGTTTAGGTGTTTAAATATATTTAAAAAAAAGTATTTATATCTGTAAGTAATCTAGTATGCACAGTAACTCGCCTTTGTTTGGGACTTGATTCTATTGTGTGATATATTCTTTGTTTTTGACTGGTAATTTTTTTCTGTTAAATACCATTATCACTTTTACTTACTTACGTCACTTTTACTTAAATGCAATTCTTAATTATGTTATGTCAAATATAAAGTAACCTGTGTTTTAAAAACAGTGACAGCAAGAAATTTTATTTTTCCCATAGAAGAATCTTAATTTATTTATTCATATTTCATTAAAGTTTTTTTTTAATAATATAAAAACATTTGTCCAATTTGGTACGTCAGTCCCATTGTACCTTAAGCTGCGGAATAGAATAGATATACACATAATAAATATAATATTGGTAAAAGATTTACGGTATAAAAACCATTGTCGTTGATTTCTGGTGAATTGATCACAATGGTCTAACTAACCTCATTTCATATTCATCTCCACTGGTGCCTCGCCAGCGTTAGCGCACCATTACCCCCCATCAAATAAATACAAGATACCAATCTGAGCCAACACTAATTAATTTTGTAGTTTCGGTTAATTTTAAAATAGGTCATCCTAGTTATAGTTAGAAATAGGCCTGAATGGGGACGCGCTGAATCCCCATGTCAATTAAAGAATCATCATTGTCGTTATAAACAACGCATTATTTCTCTGCTGTTTGGCACCGGTCTCTGGAACTTATTAGCCTATATGGCCAAACGGGTTGGCATTTCGGATTTATGTGGATTGTGTACCTAATGGACATAGACTATAAATGTCAGCACACTTTTCAACTGTTTGTAAAATGTTATATGTATAACACAAATGATCAGCGGTTTTACACACCGTTTTACTTCCAATGGCCGCAGGTTCAATTTATCATCAAAACAATTGTATTTATGAGTATGGTTATTTGTATTCGAAGAGAAATCACTCCACAATCTACTAAAATATATTTTTTTTATGGATGACAATGGGATGGTGTTCCCGCCTGCGCTAACGGTTTACGCTGGCGGGGCACCAGTGGAGGATGATAAGATGAGTATGAGTTCAGGTCAGTTAGCCCATCGTGACAAATTCACCAGGAATTTATCACGATGGTTTCCAGGGGGAACCGCGTGGACGTCAACCTGACATGGTACATTGATAGTAATGGGTTCATGAGTCCACATTACTAACAATCCCCTTCCCCCCACTAAAATATATTTTTTTTGTATATGATAATGATATGGTGCACCCGCCTGCGCTAACGGTTTACGCTGGCGGGGCACCAGTGGAAGATGATAACATGAGAATGAGATCAGGTCAGTTAGCCCATCGTGATAATTTCACCTGGAATTTATCACGATGGTTTCCAGGGGGAACCGCGTGGAGGTCAACCTGACATGGTACATTGCTAGCAATGGGGTCGAGAGTCCACATTACTAACAATCCCTTTCCCCCCTACTAAAATATATTAGATGTATAGAACTGTAGTGGGTTCTATACTAGAACGTGTATCTAAAGCTCCACTAGCAAAAGCTACCAGATTTGGGTGGGTAAGGATAGAAACACGAGCGGTGAAGGTGAGTGTTGACATACATCGACAAAGGGACCCCTTAACTGGACCCCTTAAAGGGACACCTGGGTCACAAGTTCTGGGAAACGCTCGGAGTTTCGTTCACTGTCACACGATGGCCCCCATGCTGAATCCATAGAATGCTAAGATGTACATTTAAGTATAGTCTATGTAACAATTCGTTAGAACTGAAGACAGGTTGAGAGATCAATCCTACTGCATCCTACGCGCCAGTCTAGGAAGAAAGATATATACCAAGCACTACTAACGTATAGCCGGATCGTCATATATTCACTTGGAAGAGCCGGGGCTCAATTTCCTTCGTTATGCAAGTCACACTTCATACTCCTTAACTGCTATATACTTCAGGCTACACAATTTGATGAAATACTAGTAAGTAAGGTTCTTTTTGGTTATAATAATATAATATTGGTTATAATACTTGAATTTTGATTTGAGTTTCAACTATTCGCATCTAATCGAGGCACTCAACTTCTGATCACAAAAGATGTCACGTGATCAGTCATTTATTGCTACGATTGGTTATAGTACGACCAGTCAAGAAACTGGTCTGTGATGGGTCTTTTCAAATCACAAAAGACTGAGTGTGAGAATCGAAAAAAATAGTAATAAAAATGACAAAACAGTGTCTTTTAACATTCTTATAGCTAATAATCTGGAAATGTCACTTCTGAAATAATGTAATCAATTAGCTATCGGAAAAGACTCCAATATCAGCGGGCTTCCTACTTTATTGACTGTGCCGGCATTCTGTTGTTCATAATATCCGCTCGCTCACTTTTGTAACAATGACGCAATGTAATTGTAGCTACTTAAATGTGTAATTTTCGTTTATATTTACACATTAATTACATTATAAAGGGAAAGAATTAATATTTATTAAATAAAAATATATTTTTCACACATTGGTCACATAAAAAAAACTAAATAAACAGATAAGAACTATTCCTTTAAACAACATTTTTAAATGGAATTGAAATACTGCTTATAGCGCAAGCAGCTTAGCAACTGAAATAAATGAGACAAAGGTAGACAAACCTACAGTAGCAGACAACTTCGTACAAACTCTACAGTTGAAATATGCTACAGTTGAGTATGGCGTATTATATATAATGATCAGTCATTACGGTTATGGCTAATTATTATTTACACAGCTCCATCCATCTCAAACTAAGCAGAGCTTGTGTTATGGGTACTAGACAACTGATATAAATACATAGATATTTTTTCTTGTAAATACATACATAAAACATATACAACATACTCTTGAATACAAATGTTTGTACCGTGCGAGGAATTGAATCCGCGATCATCGGATGTAAGGCGGTGCGCTTAACTGCTAGACCACTGAGGCCGTCTACATACATCTGAGTCCAATTGTTATTGGTTAAACCCATCATAAACCCCTTAACTTTGTCATGGCGAGGTATAATCATATAAAAGCGGTTAATGCCTCAATATTTTCAGATATACTATATCCGATTTGACATTTACTTTCTCTTTCGTACATAAAGGGTGCGAGTAAGACACAAATCTAATGCGATTACATAAGATTATTTCGCATTTCACTGAACTGCTTGTATGGCCTTGACTCCGTTATTGAGGGGCTTCTTTGAATCCCTGACGGAGAATTGACTGGATTCAGATTTCCAATAGGAGTTTGACATTGGAGTGATCAGACGAAATTATAAAATAGTTTGATATGATATAAAATACCTACATAAGAAGTGGCTTAAAGGTTTAGGTACTATTCCAACTTAGATTCCAAAGGTCGTGAGTTTAAATCTGGCCGAAACAAAGAGAAACTAAGTATACAGTTTATAACTAAATCTCAATTACGTAAATAAAAATACAGTGAATCTTTATGTTGTGTTAAGTGTTTTTATAATTTTCTTCTTTTTTACTCTTTTTTCATGCCACTTTTATGGCATGGCATATATTTAATGGCTGCCAGTTGCAAATGCAGTCTCGTTGTTCTGTGTTAATTTATTTTAATATTAATATTTTTTTACTTTTTTTATTATCGAGTCTGGCCGACACAATAAAAAACTGTATCAATTTTTTAACTTACTTCAATTATGTAAATAATAATTAATGTAAATGTAAATTTTCTTCTCTTTTACATTTATGGTTTGGCAATACACATTTTCGTTTACAACCAGTTAATGCTGTTAAATCCAGTTAATAAAAATGCACGCTGCATTTTTAACGTTATATCGGTTTTGATTTATTTTAACAAGGTTATTGTTTAATTATTTTTATTACGGTATGGCAAATATTACATAATGTTATATTTTTGTTGGCTGCCGGTTATAAGTTTTCATACAAAATTGGGCTATTAGGAATTTCAATTCAAAATTTTATTGAAATATCACCATCCTGACCTATATTACGGTTTCTACTTATAGGTAACGTTTATAATTAATTCAATTAATAGGTAACATGAGCTCAGGTATGGCTAGGTGTCGCCATTAGGGCGCAGGAGTGGTCATGTCAAGGTTTTCGCGTTTTATATTAGGACGACATGAATTATAATTTTAATATTGCCTAATTTTGTCCCACAAAAAATTAATCCCAATTGTTATAAATGTACAGGAATATAGTCCTGGTGGGAACTACATTCTCCTTAATTTAATTTAAACATGAATCTGTTTTTTGTAATATGTTGAAGCTTATTTGTAATATATAATAATAATATAACAATCTCAGGACAATTCACACAGCGCCATCTAGAGCCAAGTTAAGCTAGCTAAAACCTGTGTTATGGGTACTAGATAACTGATACAAATACATAGATATTTTTATAGAAAACACCAAGACCGATACAAACAATCGTTCTCAGGAATACAAATATTCCTGCCGTGCGAGGAATCGAACCCGCGACCATTGGATGTAAGGTGGTGTACTAAACCGCTAGACCACCGAGTTTAATTTCTTGTCAGTTCTTCTTAGCTAAAAACTTCATTCTGAACTAACAATATGTGTGACACCGTCTATAGTGAGAGTTTAGTTTCTTGTC